TTGCGAATTCACGATTATTGGCCCACAGCAATGTGACATAATTCACTCGTGCCTCGCATAATGAGCTCGTGTATGGCATTTGTTTCATTATGTGACTATTATGGCATCCGCTGAGCCAGCCCGAAAAATAACCGGAAGGGCTTTCGGATGGGAACAGCTCCGTTTCCCCTATTTTCCCGGGAAATGCATTCAGCTGCATGCACATGGCAGCTCTCAACTCGCCAGTCTCGTGTGGCATGCGAATAAAATGGGGAAATGGGAAAAACAAAGCTTGGCCGAAAAGCGATTACCCCGAAAAACTAACATAACACGCCAATTTATGTGCACAATTGTTTACATGAAGTTCTATGGCATTCAATGGCTCCGCCGCTCAATTGTTCAGTTTTTCGATTGTTTAGGTGTGCAGTTTTCCAACTGATTGAATGTGGAGCCGTTGGCCGCTGGCTATATCCATGTAATTATGGCCCAGGAATACTGGTTTATGATAAATGCGGCTTCTGGCTGCTGCCCGCGTACACACCGCGTATACGTAATTCAATCAAGGGGCCATTAAATCGAGAAAACTTTTTTCAATATTCGCGGGCATTAAGCTTCAATTTATTTCAATCAGCGAGCGCACAATTTGCGTCCAACGGAGCCCATAAAATTGCAGTAAATTCAACAATTGTAGAGTTCAATTACGAAGCATCCCGATATGTATATATCCTCACTATAAAGATATATATATTTTTTTTCGTTTCAATTTCATTTCACGGCTGCTCTTTTACAATTGACAATTTAATGGAGTCTTCCGCAGTTGCGGCTGAGACCGAGAAAAGCCATTGTCTGCTGGATTTTCTCCAGGAATTTCGCCTCGTTCCGCAAGTGTTAACCGCTTACTTAGGCCATTATGCTCGCTGGCCGAGGCGACATTGTATTAGGCAGGCAAATTTATGGACGCGGCTTTTATGCTTTAAGGACTTTGGCCAGACTCGAGCGTTAATGGGCGCACTTGTGAATTTATGGGCATGGCCTGCGGTAAAAGATAAGGATATAAACTTGACTATGGGACTATTTCATAGTTAGCAGTCTCTGAGCCTCTGCTAAGTGAGTATGTAGCTCGCTGTATTTCCCCACTTCAGTCACCTGCGTTTGCACGTGGCAGCCCTGCATCCCTGATTTTATGGCTTTCACACCGCGCTTACATATTTACTATACAAATTACACTTTTTATTGCATGTGATTTCGGCTCTTTCTGTCTTTTTTTGCCCGGCACGTGGCAAAGGGTTTCCCTTTTCATCGGGAATTAATGGTTTATTTATATGATGTGTTGAAGTCGATATAGTGGCATGGCACGTTCAATCCTTGGGGCCCGGCAATTGTTTTTGCCTTGCGTGTGCCACAAATTGAGACTCCAATTATGTGCGACTTTTTTCCTTCGACTGCTCATGTTTGCGGTTAATCGTACATTTCCATAAGTATGCGCAAATTGCAACGGAACACGAAGGGTAATTCTTTGATTAGAGCCCGCTTTTTGTTGCAAGTTGCGTGTGCGTGGAAATTATGCTAATTTCCACTGCTGTTGCACTCGGTTATGCCGAGTGTTTTTCTTTTTGTTAAATATGTATGACATGCAAATGTGCAAAAGCGGCCAACTGACTTCAATTAACTTTGATCGATTTAACAAAATGGTTAGCATTTTCAGCTCAATTAATTTGTTTTGTTTTTTTGGCTTCCGATTTGTCGTAATTGCATGCGTTTTCATTCTGTTGTCAAATTTATATAATTAGATCAAGCGACTCGGCATTATCATAATGAGTAATTAAATTGGAGAACATTATGGCATTTCTTTTCGTAATTATTCAGGCTTACTGGTGCATTTCCACAGGAAAAAATAAAGCGAATATTTCAATGCTTTAAGCTTTTGTATGTAGAGTGTATCATTTTATTATTAAGAATTTGTATTCGTTTTGTTAACATACTAGCGATTATTAATGTTGCTCTTGAATTCGAATGGATACATAAAAAAATACAAATATTATTTTAAAAGTGCAATATATTTTTGAAAGTATATTTATTTTTGGGGATGCTAAAATATACGGCTTTGGCTTAGCTTTGCCAGAAGTTTTGCATAATTTCGCATACATATATGCCAAAGTTTCGTTTGCTAGTTTATCTGCTGATGGCGTTAGTTAGAGAAATTGTTATATCCGCTTGCCTCCATTTTGAGCTCTTCCTCTGCCTCCACTTCCCGGAAAAACCACAGAACACAGCGACATGCATATGCAGATTCTAAAAACAAAATTAAAATAAATGACAAACGAAAGCGGCAAGAGAGAAGAAAAAAGTATTTATTTATTTGCGTTTGTGGAAAATGTGGCACGCTGCTTTATGTGTTGTCATTAGGCAAATAGTTTGCGGGCTGGCTGTGAAATACGAGAGTGGCGCAGCATGTGTGCTGCGAAACGAAGTACAAACAATTATGGCCCAAAATCAGGGAATGTGATGCCAGCGATTTATCTGCATGGATGTATTTCAGTAAAAGAGATACAGAGACATCAATGTTGGCGGTTGTGGTGATGGCGATGTGGTGTGCTGTGGTTCCAAAAATGGAAGCATAATTTTATTGGGCTGGTAAATTTAATGGGTTCATTAGAGGAGTGTTGCCTACTTTCCGGCGACACTTTTCTGAAAATTAATGCAAAACGTGAGTTTGTTTTCAGCTTCTCAGTCTGGCCGTGTTTTTCTCCAGCCTTTTCCCTGCTGCTCATTATTCTTGTTGCCTGGAAAATTGTGCTACTGCTGCTGCTACTGCTACTGTTATTATAATACTTTTATGCCATCGTTTACCCTCGCTGATGCTGCTGCTCCTGTTGGTGTTGACTTAGTCAAGAGCAATTAACATGCAAATAAGGCCTATTAGTTACCCAAACGTCAGCCTGTCAGCTGCTCTGTCTCCCACAACGGCCACGCCCCGTCGCACCTTTTCCCGCCCCCAAACACCACCCGCTCTTTAAGGATGCTCCCTGCTTTCTGCCCTTTAATGACTTACTAATTTCAAGTTGGCCATCTTCTCGGTCCTTTCAGTTTTCACGGACAGTATCGTTGGAAATCTTAATTGGCAATTTAGCCGGGAACATCGTAACGCTCATCGTTGGCTTTAGTGTTATATGTTGGGGCTGCTGGCCGTCGGTGGAAACTTTTGATTTCCAAAGGGTCAATCCTTTGTCTTTAATCTAATCACCTAGGGCCGACATTTTTATGAAGTTTCGCCCTGCATTCGGCAATTAATGTTAATTGATCACTTAATTTCAAGCATTTCCATTAAAACTTTTCACGGTCCGGGTGGCAAAAGTTAAAGCGGAATGGAGAGCACGAGTTTCCAGTTTCGAGTTTCGAGACTCGGATTTGCAATCGGAATGAAGGGCCCGCCTTGATTTACATTCCAGGAGCCCGGTAATCGCCTCATCACCATCACACATTCGCCCCGTGTGCCGCAACCATGCAAGTTGAATTAACATGAAAAAATATTGACCCACACAGAGGCAAACACTCGCACGCACACACACAGTCAAACGCGGTGAGTAAAGGTCCTGCTGCAATTTATAGCTATAGCTACATATATAGTAGAGCTGCAGTGGGAAAATGTTTGAGCTCACACACTCCCAGCGGCGTAAATGTTACTGGCAGCTCCTCCTGCAAAGCAATGCAACTGTGAGTGGGTGCACTGAGAAGAAATCGAGGGGACTAAGTGTTAATACTAAATCGCAAATAAAGTGGGAGGGAAAAACTTGAGTGTTAAATAAATCTCCGGTGTTTTTTTTTAGGGAAGTTTCGTTTGAAAACCAATAAAGAAACCCGTCAGTATAAAGAACTTTTTCTAATCGCTTTTCTATAATTTAATTTTAATTTTAAAATTTTTAACATAACCAATAAAAATGTAAGACATTTTTCAAAAACTGATTGTTATGATAAAAATATGTTCATATATATTACTTCATTTCTCGAAAGAAATTATAATTTCCTTGCAACTTCTGAAATAAAGATAACAGTCTTATAAATATAAGCCTACTATATCTGCGAATTGTCTATAGGTTTTTATATTATTATAATATATTTATTTCCGTTTGAGCCTTCTTTGCGCCCAGTGCAGTTGTGTCTGGCGGGGATTTACCCTTCGCAGGACACACAATGAAGGTGTGTGCTGACAACGAATGCTGTGGGTGATGATCCAGGTTGATTTATCTACTGGCGCTGAGGTTAAAAGTTTTGCGCATACTCCCATTGTTTAGGTCAGCTTCCCTTTGTGTGCGGCAGGACCACAGAACCGGAGCCACCGGTCGCCACAGTAGGACCTCTCTGGCACCACCACCACCATTACCACCGCAGCCGTTGGACAGTTCGACTGGCAGACAGGAGGTTATGCAAATGTCAGCCCCCCTGCAATTATTCAACCTTTGGCCGGCGGCTCGAGTCCTTTGCCGGAGTGCCTCTGTGATTTCTGCCTCACCAATAACGTTTACTTAATCCATGATTATTTTATTGGTTTAGCTGGAAGCACAACAGAGCGGCAAAGGCAGACAGCTCATTACCGAAGCCCCCTTTTTGCTAGATCCAAACTAATTATGGAGCTTCGGAGCTCGTTATGTATGCGGGTATTTTGCTTTTGTCAGAGCCTAAACCAACTACGTACGTCGAAACGGGAAAGTGGGTGTAAGCCACCCACTCCACGGCTCAAGGGCACGTCCGGAGTATCGGCAATATTTTGCTGACGTCTCACTGAAATCCATCATTTTCCCCGGCCGTCTGCGACACGTGGTCTCCGCAGCTGGCTAATAAATCTTAATCAGTCCGGACCCGGGACTCCTAGCCCCAGTGGGTGGCTGCGGTCTCCGTCTAATTTGCGGTGCTCCTGCCTCCCGATTTCCCAACTTCCCAACTTCCCATTGGATCCGATGGCTTATCAACTTATCAACCCACCCGCATTGATTGGCCCGCCAATCGAGCATAATCGCAAAAGCTTTTCAATGCTGATAAGTTTATTTATTTGCTGGCCTAAAGCTTAGACTACTAAACACATTTGGGATGTGCTTCTCTTGGCTTTTTAGGGGTCTAGAAGAGGTTTCCAAGCTCGTTCATCAGGCGATCGAACCAGTTTCCGCTGGTGGTGTTCCTGTCGTCGACGGTGGTGCTGTTCCAGCCCTGGGTGGTGCTGTTCCACCAACCTTCGGTTGTGTTCCAGGGTCCCTGGGTTGAGTTTCCCTGCCAGGGATTCGGAGTGGTGCTGTTCCACCAGTTGGGTCCTTCGGTGGTGCTGTTAACGATAGGTCCCCAGGAAGTGGTGTTGTTCCAATTTGGTGGAGAGAGGGTGGTGCTGTTCCAGTTAGGTCCCGCAGTGGAGTTGCCCCAGGCAGTGGTGTTCCAGTTACCTTGGGTAGAGTTATTTCCCCACCATGGAGGTAGATCGGTAGTGTTTCCCGAGGGACCCTGGGTAGAGTTGTTTCCCCATGGACCGGAAGTGGTGTTGTTTCCCCACCATGGAGGCAGATCGGTGGAGTTTCCGGAGGGACTCTGAGTAGAGTTGTTTCCCCAAGGGCCGTTAGTGGTGTTGTTTCCCCACCATGGAGGCAGATCGGTGGTGTTTCCTGAGGGACCCTGGGTAGAGTTATTTCCCCACGGACCGGAAGTAGTGTTGTTTCCCCACCAGGGAGGTAGATCGGTGGTGTTTCCGGAGGGACCTTGAGTGGAGTTGTTTCCCCACCATGGAGGTAGATCCGTGTTGTTACCCCACCATGGAGGTAAATCAGTATTGTTTCCTGAGGGACCCTGAGTGGAGTCGTTTCCCCAAGGGCCGTTAGTAGTGTTGTTTCCCGACCATGGAGGCAGGGTCGGGCCTTCCCAAGATGGTCCCTGGGTGGTATTTCCCCAGGACGAGCTCAGCCATGGACCTGCAGTGGTGGTGAAGTTGGGAGTGGTGGGCCACTGGGTAGTGGAAGTGTTGCAAGGGATCTCTGTGGTAGAGGTAGTTGTGGTGAAGTTGGGAGTGGTACGAGTCCAGTTGGGATCCACAGTGGTGGTAAAGTTGGGAGTAGTATCAGTCCAGTTCGGGGTAACAGTGGTGGTATAGTTGGGCGTGGTCCAGTTCCAGTTGGGGTCCACAGTGGTGGTAAAGTTGGGAGTGGTGCGGGTCCAGCTCGGATCCACAGTGGTGGTGAAATTGGGAGTGGTATAGGTACTGGGCCACTGAGTGGTGTTCTGGGGCGGCGGAGGAGCCACAGTGCTGTTCTGGGGCGGCTGTGGCTGGGGCTGCGACTGGGCAATGCAAATGGCCAGATCCAGGGAAGCATTGTCCAGCTTAACGAAAGCCTTCTGCAGTTCACGCCAAACGCAGGCCTTGCGGCGACGCTGATCGTAGCGGCTGGGACGCACCGAGCTGAACAGATTCAAAACCTGTTCGGTAGAGAAACCCCAGCTATAGTTCTATAGAAAGTAAGTCGAAGAAAATATCTTACGGTATCCACGTAGCAATCGGTCTGCGAATTGCTAAGTGCGCAGTCAATCAGTTCCCTTTCGAAGTTTTGCTTCCTGTAGATGGCATTCTCTCGCTGCAAATATCTTTCGATATCGCGGGAATCAATTTTGAGGCAACGATGAATCTTGTAGCCAGCCGTCAACAGAATCTCAATGTTATCCACGGTGTAGAGGGCAGTGCACTCATCCATGTCAATGAGCTCATCAGCCGGAGGCTCCTGCAGGTTTCCAGTCACAGCATCGAAGAAGAGGGACTGCCAGCCGAGGTCCTTGGAGCTCTTGGCTGGCTGAACTGCCTCGAACGCCTGGGGGATTCGTTTGTCGCGGTTATATAAGTTGTTTCTCTTCACCTCTCAAGGGGCTTGGGGTTCGCCATTCTCACCTGAGCGCCGACGAGCAGCAAGCACACCGCTAATATTTTGCACGGAACCTCCATCTTGGCGGTTCAAGTCGCTTCTGAGTTTACTTTGCTGGCAGGTGACCATTTTAAGGCGGCGGGCATTTGATTTTTAATATGTTATTTTTATTCCGCCTTCATTAATTGCATTTATCTATAATTGTTCGGGGGCCCAACACAATCAGCAAATGGACGGGGCAGGTGATAAGTCTTAAGCATTCTAATTGATGATAACAATGAGTGGTCCGAGTGCCGTCACCATGATAAAGATAAAGCCCTGCGAATACGGAACTGGGCGTGAAGTGCGGCAGGAAGTCTGTCGACTGACGACGGTGAGTAACCGCTTTTGGGGTTTGGGGAACTCCAGCGATTTATGTTCTCAGAGGGCTCGATGGCCCGATGGCACCGATAGGCCATTAAAAACAAGGGAAAATTTTCGGTGACAGTTCTAAGGAAAAAACCGAGCAAAATTTGATCAAAAAATTGATAATGTAAGGCAATACAAATAATACCTGGGCCTTATGTGTCTTAAGTGATAGGGAAAGGGTATACAATGTAGCATGTTATCTGATTTTCAAAGGGGAAAAAGTTATTTTTGGTAAACAAATCCACCAACCTTCGGTTGATTCTGTTGAAAATTTAGCTTAGGGCCCAGTAGCTATGGCTAAATTTAAGTTCGCCTGTAAATTTTACCTTATAGTCAAACATCTAAAATTAATAATAATAAATTTTCCTCTTGAAAACGAAAAGACTAGATATGTCTGATGTTAAACAGTTTTTTTTATTGATTAATACTCTCTGCTCTTAGTTGGTCAAAGGCAGCTCCTCGAAGTGCTGGGGAACCTGCTCCTTGGGCACCTGGACGGGCCTCACCTGCTGCTGCTGCTGCTGCTCCTTCTGCGGCTGAGGAATCTCCCGCTGGGTGGCGATCTTCTCCATGCAGGTGCTGTACTCGTTGGCCGCCTGGATGGAGGCAACCTTGGTCTCGCTAATGGCGGCGCTGACACAGTTGGTCTTCTGGGCCTCCATCTGAGTGGCATTGGTGGTGAACTGGGACTGAGTTTGGTAGGCCTGAGAGTTGGAGGTGTCCAGCAGCTGCAGGTTCTTGTCGAACTGGGGGAGAATGGGGATGTGTCAGCACTTTAATATGAAATCAGTATGACGAGGTTATCCTTACAGTGGACACAGTGCAGTTCAGGAAGAGGGCAGAGTCGGTCTCATTGCGGCACAGCTCGAGGTTCTTCTCCAGGTTCAACAACTGGAGGCGGATCTGGCTAACGGTGGTGTTGCTGCTCTGGACGTAAGACACCTTGGTGCGATTGGCTGCCTCCTCGCAGGCATTGGTGGCATTGGCCAACTTGTCGCCGATCTTCTGGGTGGTGTTCAGGTAGTTGGTGGCACAAGTCTGGGCAGCAGGAGTCAGGGCACGTCCCTCAGCCTCACCCACGACCATGCGGAAAAGGACCTCCTCCAGACCGAAGTCATCGCCCAAACGCGGCACGGCACTGACCTGAGATTGAAGAAATAGTGTCTTTAAATTTAATGTTTCTAAGTAAAATATTAATTTTTTTTGGGTTTCTATTTTAAATGAATTTTGCAAGCCAAGTAAACTTGTTTATGTCTATTTGAAAATAATTTTTTTTATCTATTTTTGTAAGTTTATTATTAACCACCAAAGTAAAGTACAATTCGATAATGGCTGACACACGCTAAATAAATTGATTTGATAAAAAGCATTTGTCACTTTTTTGTTTTTATAAAAGAAGCGAGCAGATATAATATTACTAGGAAAAATGATCCCCTAGTAAATCAGGTAAGTTTACTTGATCTAAAACTTTATTATTTTTCTTAGCGATTTTACTCACGCTGAAGAGGGTCACGGCCAACAGGATAACTCGTGTGAATAACTGCATCTTGGATACTTTGAAACTTGAAATACTTTCAATCTAGTGATACTGGCAGCTTGCAGAGTCTTTTATAGTTCAGCTTCCCGGTGAAAAGATCCATTGGGGCCCAAAATTAGACACTAATTGGCAATGCACTGTGATTAGATAGCAGGCAACAAGAAGACATGGCAAATGTTCATCTAATTGGCTTTCTGCAGGGCTAAGACTCATCTCCAAAGATAGGATAGCTAAGATAGCTGGGTTGCCAGGCTAAATGGCACTCCAATCAGTGGGTTCCATGTCGCAGTACTGATAAGCCAGCACACCCCCTTTGGGGTCTGAAAGTCTGTCTGCCGTTCGTCTTATCTGAACCCGTTTTTGTGTGATATAACACCTTATTTCGGCCCTGCTGAATCATGGCGCTCGACAATCTGGCAGCTCTTTTAGAGAGCCAGTGATTTACGCGATCACTTTTAAGAGCCACTTCAGCTGGGATTTTAATCTACCGATTACATGTCCATAAATCAGCCAAATCTCGTTTGCGTATTCTAAGAACTGAAAGGCGGTTCCCAGAATTGATAGAACTGAAGGCTGATAACTCAATTTGTTGTGCCTAAGGTCATTGAAAGTAAAAACCCAATTTCCATGAATTCGCTTATCAACTGTTATCAAAACCGCATTTGTGTATCTATCTAACACCGCTTGCGACAATTGAAAAGAATAATAACAAACATTCGTTTGGCTGCAAAAAATTACTATCATCTAATTAGCTGCGGCACGCACTCGAGTCGTGCTTCATTTTTCATGCCAGGAATTGTTTTGAGAAAAATATTTTGTGTAAGGGGTTTGCCGTGGACCTGCTGCCAAAAGAGTGAGACGAGTATTTATCAAAAACACACACCGCACCACCCGGGGCGAGAAAATGGAAAGTCCTGGCTCCACGTGTGCGGCACTTCACATACATCTTGCGATAGACCAAACAAGATTTATAAGCTGAGACATTGTTCCAAGCACCTTGGTGGAAAAGTCGTCGCAACTCGAACGATTTATCAAAAGCATAAAGTGGCCTGAGCCAACTTTCGGTGGTACTGCACTGGAAACATTTATTAAATATTTTTCTACGTTTTAAAACACGTGAAATAATTTTTACCATAATAATAAAACAATCATTGACTGAGAATTTCCTTTTCAATGAAAGTATTTTGCCCGGAAAAAGCAATCAATCTTGAAATAAGCTTGGGAACTTAATAAAATCTAAAAATATCTAGGGAAAAGATATCATTTAATGGATCCATTTTACTTACTTAACATACAGAATGCAGTTTAATTTAAGTTAACTCAAATTTTTGCAAGTGGAGTGCCTGCCAGGCGCAGCTGCTCCACTGGAACTTCCCAAGAGAAAGATTTAACGGGCGACAAGTGCTAATTTGAATGTGGGCAGCCGTTTTATTTGCCCTGACAGTCACCAAGGTAAGCCACAAGTCATGGTTGCTTCTCTGATTCTGATTCAGATTCAGATTGGGTTGTCGCTGCTGGTGTCATATCATTTCGGTTTGATGGAACTGGAACTGGAACTGGAGACCCCACTCCCACTCCTTTTGTGACTCTTGTTCCTGGGGATCTCTGGAGTGGTAAGTCATGTAATGCGCTTGAAGTGGCTTTACACAGCGGCTTCTGTTTCTGCTTCTGTTTCTGTTTCTGGCTCTGTTCAGATCTCGAGTAGCTGTTAAGCACTTTCATTACACAGGCCCGAAAAGAGCAATGATTTATGCGAGTTATGAGGGGAAACAGCTCGAGTGTCGCTTTAAATACGAGTGAAAGGCCCATCCTCCGCCAGCTGATGACTGGCGTCATTAAAAATGGAATGCCGTATGTACAGTGCACGACAGGCTGGTAAGGATGGATATTGTGGCGCATTGTTTGCGGCCGTTGTTGTTAATGCTTCAGCCTTTGCCGCTCGCTGTCATCTCCTTTGTTTACTGCAGCTCGACTGGCAAATAAATGCGGGGTCTAGACAGTCACGCACAATGGCAGTTTTAATTTTAAGAGTGCACCCGGAAAAAGAGCATAGGACTGGATACCAGCCGTCCAGATATTTATTTTAAATAAATGCGACAGATATTAAAGCAGTAAAAATGAATTTATGCTTTTTAAGTTCTTCACGAGAACAGAGAATGTTTATTTAAAAATATATTAATGCATATTTGATTAGATTAAGTATTGCTAAAAAAAGATAACCAAATAAATGTATCTTTTGTTGAATTTCTACAGGGAGATAAACTAAATAAAGGTGAATAAGTAGCATGGAAACACAATTCACATGTCAACAATTAATCAAGTTAATCAATTGGGGTGCAACTATGTTAATATAAGCAGTATTTATTAGTTTTTAATACCAAGATTAAAGGCCAACCATTTTGAGAGCGGAAGATGAGTATTTAAGTTGCGGTAGAGCTATAAACATTGACCTATTAAAACTTTATTTATACGAAATATATTAAGTGCATGCCATATAAGTGATTGTATGAAATTTAAATTATCTGTTTAATAAGCGCAAAGAAATAATAATGCTGGTGATACATCATGTCAAGTAGAGTACTTACCCGGCTTTATCTCTTCGAGCTTAACAAAATAGTCTCCATAACTTAGTGAGATATCAGCAAATAAATAATGAAATTATAAAAATATTTATACCATTTAATTCACACATCACTTAATAAGTTTTAAAGCACACTCTTGATGTGCTGAGATCAATTGAGCATGCACTTTATTTAAATATGTTTTTTTTTCCCCGCCCTTGAGTTCCCTTCAGGTTTAAAGAGCCCTTTGCACCGATAGCTGGCTGCTACTCCCGCAAAAGGTAAATGCGTAATAAGTTTTTATGCAAATTTCCCAGGGAAAACTTTCCCCTGTCAACACTTTATTCCATTGTAAATTATTTGCATTCATTTATTTTTTTTTAGTTTGCATTTTTTGCGCGCATTATTATTATTTTTTTTCCCCCGTTTTTAAGCGCCATCCAGAGAACATTAAAAATGTGTAACATGTAGCTCGGTTCTTGTTGTTTGCCGAACACGGCATTTTTTTTGTGTTCTCTAAATGTTAATTCAATGCAACATTTTCGTGTTGCTCCGCATTTGCTGCCATGTTTTTAAATAAATACCAACAAAAAAGAGGAAAGGCGAGCAGGAGGAAACTCGCCTGCTGCGCCATATGTGTGGAAAAGTCGGAGGAAAATTGTGAGAGGGGCCAGCGCTGCGGGTAACTTTTGTCGGGGGCCTTGATTTTCTGTGACAATATTTGTGCGGTCTAATGGCAAAATGGCATTTGAATTTTAGTCCAATGCTTATTGAGATTTAATCTGATTGTGAATGTGATTTACATTTTCCGACAGACGGGGGTGCAGCAAAGGATCCGAAATTTGCATTTCAAAGCGAGAAAAGCGGAAAAGCGGGTCGTCGAGGAGTAGGTGGGCGGAAGTTTTTATGCGAGGACTCATGAAATTTATTAACGCTTTCATTGCACGCCGGGGAATTGTCGGAAGAGCGAGGGAGCGAGACGGCACTCGGCGTGCGAGCGGGAGAGGCTGAGCCGTAACATTTCCTTTGTGTGTCGTAGATTTACTGGCTGGCCTGGGTTTTCCAGTTGATTTTACTGGTGGATATTACGTTTTAGTGCTGCGCTCCGCTTTTGTTACAGCTTAGAAGTGCCTCCAAGTTATCCAAATGCGAACTTTAATCAAGTTAAATGGTGCGCACGGGGCAGGTGGGTGGTGTAGGTGATGCAGGCACTGTATATTCACCACTGCCAACGGTCTGGTTTGGGATGGCCAGCGGCAATTAAAGTGCATTAACCACATGATGCGTTTTGCACTTAAAACCACTCCCATCCACTCCGGTATAGCCACATACCCTGCATAGGTCACTGCATCTGTTGCGACTGCAGGTGCATTTTCACCTGCAACAGTTGCATTTGCTCCGCTGGACCCCAGCGCACACGCATCCACATCCGTTTCCGGTTCCGGCAGCAGCCCAGCCACGAATCGGAAGCGACTGTTGCCGCTTTTGTTGCCTGGACACTGCGAGAAAGTGTCGTTTTTACAAGTTACAATTTCTAATTATATTAAAATTTAACTTATTTAAATTCCAAGCTTGATAAGTCCCACACGAGTGAATAGTAAAAGGAAATGTGGTATTCAAAAAGTGTGCAACAAACATTGTTGTCTGTAAAACCCCTCCATCACTATCAAAACCACTGCATCTAAATGGAAATCGAAATCTAAAATTAATTATAAAATGTTTACCAAAATAAGAAACTTTGTTTTTTTTCTTGTTTCATATTTTTTTCCCAGTGTGTAGTTGAAAAACGGAAAAGTGGGAAGCATCTGACCAGCGAACAGCAGCAACATGTGCATCCTAATAAAAACTAATTAGGACCTTCCACCTGCCCCCGAACCCCTGGCCCTCCTGGTAGTATTATCATCCCGGGGCCGCCACCCTCGGTGGTCAGCTAACTGTTGCTGATGTCGCCTGACATCAAAGTTCTATTTTAGTTTATGTTACGAGCGGTACGCACATATCGTTGCTGGTTGTTTCCCACAAGTTGGATCCCACATTCCGGACCTGGGGCCCTAGTTTCTGATTGTGACAGGGCAAGGACTCTTTTGCCACAACCCCAGCGCTTTTCACCCGTACCCGTCACCGGGGCCTAAATGTTCCCTCGACTGACACGAGGAATTTAATTTCATTTCGCCAAAGACAAATACAAAGGCAGACGTCAAGTTATTAGCAATATAAACACACATGTGCCAACAGTTTGCTTTTCGTTTCCCCAGACCCCGGAACACAGAGCCCAGAACCCAGAGCCCAGAGATATGTGGGCGTGTGTACCTCATTTAAAAGTCCCGAAAAGAGCAAACGAAATCAAACAGCGAAAAAGTGTTTATTAAAAGTAAAGAAATTCGCAAGAAATTCTCTTGACGTCACTTGAAATTCCGGCGAAATTTGCGTTTCGAACGAGGGGGTGGGGTATAAATGAGTGATTAGATTTTCATTATCATGCGGCTGATA